ATCTGGCAGCGAACACGGGCAGAGCCCAACTTCGTCTCCCCCACACGGTGCAATGTCGGACAGTGCGTCCGCGGCACCGGGGAATGTACATCCTAGGGTCGATGAGCACGAGCGTCGCGCTTTGCGCACGCTATCAATGACGAGTGGCCTCTTTCAGGATGTGGAGGTGGTCGACTACGAGTCTGACACTCCTTTTCCCGGGTGGAATGACGAGGAAGGCGAGCCGCGCCAGCGGCGTCAGACGAGCCCTGCTTGCGCCTTGCGGACACCGTGTCCGTTTCCTGACTTCTCGTCACCTGAAGGACGTGGTGTCATCACCAATAACCTCGATGAGGCACAGAAGCGGCAGCTGGAAGCTGCCTGTAAGGCGGCTCTGATGCGTGCCCATCCACGGCCTGTCATTGACCCTCGTGTAGAAATATGGTTTCCGCCCGGCGGATCCCGCTGTGGAAGTGAAGGACGCGGTATTTCGACCGTTACACCTCCACATCATCGGGCCTCCGGCCATTACGGAAGATGATCTTGCCCAACGGAAAGCTCTTCGAGCTCGTTTCTTGGTTCCACAAGAATTTTCGTTGGAAGCTTATCGCACTCGTCTGAGTGCTTAATGAGGTGGCTCTCGTGTACCCGCAATGCGGACAATACCTGTGGTGCTCGCCCCTGGCGAAACCGCTGCATTTGATGAAGAACACTTTAAACGATAGGTGCAACGGCACCGGAAAGTTTCGAGTCCTTCGGCATGCCAAACACAAAGTCCATACTCATGGACTACCAACACTCGGAGAGTACCGGTAAATTGGCCAACGGCAACGCCGCATTCGGAGAGGGTTTCACCCTTTGACACGTCTCACACGTGCGCATGAATGTGCTCGTTCATTTGTACAGCTTGGGCCATCAATAGTGGCAACTCACAGAGCTGTACGTCTTCGCACGACCGGGATGACCACTAAGTGGGGTGTCGTGGGCCTCCTCAATATTTCAAATCCTCGTCGTGAAGAACCACAATTCGTGGCGTATCCGTTGATTCGGTGCCAATCCATAGCTCAACGAATATCGGTGTAACCGTGTGCTCAAACGCACTGACAATTTCGTGTCCAATTTTCAAATTCCTTGCTCCCGAAAGCCTAAAGCAGCGCTACACACAAACTGTCACCCCCGTATGCGGCGCGGATCTAATCCGTCACTAACGACGTCACCGTCTAGACATGAACAAGCTCATTGTCCGGTCTACGTCACAACGCATCAGCCAAAGCATTTTGCTTTCCTGGCTTATTCTTCACCTTGAAGTCATATTCTGCAAAGAGGCGACTGGAATACAAAGTATCTCGTATATGGACTAAATATACATTAGGACAATACAAATTTAATGACAAATGGTGATAGATCTTCAAAAAAAATATGTTTGACGGCTGTGTAATATTCCTTCTCGGTAAAACTGACCTTTTATGATATTTATTCCACGAAGAAATCGCTTTCAGGAAACGCGAGGCAAATCCCCGAGAGAGTTCCATAAATTCTTTGAATATGAAATAGGTTTGATTGCCCATGCAGTTTTGCGTCTCAAATGTTTTGCTCACGATCGATGCCATTGAACACTTCTTTTAGTCAATCCACAAGCTTTGTGACCATTAGTCGGTCGCTTTTTTCAAAAAAAAATATTATTTTGACAATTTTTCGAGATTATAGAGGTACAGTCAGCAGGAGGCTTTTTCGCATTAGTAACATTTTCAATCCCATCTCGAACGGCCTCAACATGGCATAGACTGTCAACAATTTATACAGGATCTCGCCTAGCTTGCACTACCTCAGCACTAGAGTCCGGCATTAAATGTTTGCCTGGTAAAAGTGTATTAATCTTGAGACTTAACTCGAAGAAAAAGACATCTTGAATAGAAGGATGAGCATCTTCGGGAATTCAAGAGCGCAATTCAATGTAAACGTGTTGAAATTATTCAACAGCAGTCTGCTGCACTAAAAGTGTCTCGATGACCTTGTAAATCTTCGACACTTTTGCTGACGTGAATGAAATCTTCACTACAATCGCGATTACAATCCACCAACTCTTTGTTGTTTGTACGCTAACTCGTCACTGGACGCCGTTTTCGACCACGCCACGGGAAATTCCCGACATAGTAGCCAATTAAGTGGCAGAAGAGATGTGAACATTTTGTCTGCATTTTGTCCACAGATTTTTTTGCCGACGCGACAATGAAATCAATGTGGTCGGCGTCTTGTCGTCTTACATTCAGCAGATGCTGTAAAGTTGGATATGATGTAAGCTAATCTCGACACAAAGGACATTAAATCGAAAAACATCTTAGCCATGACAAAGAATTTTAATGAGGTAGAGGTCTCAAAAGCATTTTTTGGTAGTACGAACGAGACCTGTCGAGCCTCAGTAGATGCATTAAAGGCCACAGATAACGCACATTTTGTGCTCAAGATTCCAACAATACGTTTGATTGATAGTCTGCAAGTAATCGCGGCATAGAAAGCATATTCGCAAACACCGTGTATTGTTGCATTTCGGATCGCATCAGTAGCAAAAGGAAAGAGATACGGCGACCGACGAGTCAGGTATCCACCAAAAAGAAATTAATATTGTTAACATGATTACCATCATCCTTTAGGTTCAAATTGCAAAAGTGCATTGTAACACATTTTTATGCCAAAACGAATCTCCGATAGCTAGATCACCAATCGAACTTGACGACAATAGTCACTGCTTCAAGCCCGTATTAAGAAAGGCAAAGTGTTTAAAAATTCGCGTATTGAGGTACTTCAATTTCTTTTGTAGACGCTGGAGCTGCATATATATGTCAACTTGAAAAAGCGGGGCTTCACACCACCTCGATTTCGAAGATTTCTCGGCAGCGCCCTACGACTAAAGCTTATACAGAACCGGTGACGACCTGGAACAGCTCCGGGTTACGAGCAGTGATCAAGAGACCGTATTGCAAATTTGCTAATGTAGCCTTCCGGATACCAGCGTTGATGTGGGCGCTTTGCAGCTAATCAGGCATTCAAATAGGCACGGGGGTATGATAACGAAATCGACAGGAATGAATAAATTGAAAATCGGAACTCCACAACAGGAGCGATCTATTGATTACAATATACACAAAGAGCGTCCGCAAAGTGTATATAAGCAGGGCGAGACCGAATTAGTTTGCGCTCTATCAGGAAGCGGTAACTTCTATCATTTGGATCGACAATATTGAAGCAAGAACACAAAGGTATCGAATGATGTACCTATTTTATTCTAAGAATGCTTAACAATGCAATGTCGCCAGCGAGACGCAAGATTTGGTGGAGTTCAAAACTTAAATCCCAAAATTTTAATTGGGTTTCACGCCCTTGAGTTTACCAATAGTTTTGCCCAGGGCTACCTGCAAGAAAGCACCAACACATATGAGTGTCATTACTAGAGGGAGACTGCAGTCATCAACTCACCTTGTCACCTGGTTTAATGGTAAATTGGAACGACGCAGGAGCTTCAAAGATCAGCACAACTGTAGACCCAAACTGAGCACCAGAAGTTAGCAAAATAGCAAATTTGCGAGTACGAAAGCTATCACACCTTAAACAGCGCAATTTCCTCGCCACGCAACGTGTCCACCTTGCTGGTATAATTAGTTGCTAGACACTGACCAACCTGCTTATCTTGTTCATGGGTATTGGTCCGAAATCCTGGCTCCATTGTTAAAACAATAGAACCCACGTTCAAGGCACCAACAGCAGTCAAGGAAAAAAAACCATGCTCCCATTCACCCAAAAGCGCAACACGCTCATTCTCCAGATACAGGCTCGGTATTCGGTTAGCTGCGAGATGATTGACAGGAAACAGGTTACCGGGAAAATGGCGACGCGTCTCGACTTTCCAGTCGACTGGGGCGTGAACGCGATGGTAATCGCCCGGGGCTAGATACAATACACAGTAATACACTTGTTTACCATTCGACCCGGGCGTTTTAGCAGTGAAGAAGGGCGGGAGGCCGCCGAGAAACTCATCAAGTCGGTAGCTCGAGCCCTTTATTTGTTCGAGCGTCGGCACATCGGCAGAAGAGTTTACGAACCCAACAGAAGCTACCGCACCGTCCACCGGGCTGGCGAGATGGTGAGGATCCGTAACAAATGGACGAAGCCCTTCCTTTAGCGGGCGTGAGAAAAATTCACCTAGATTTGCATAGTCCTGCAGCGGATATTTCATTTCAGTTAAATTGCATTTGAAGATAGTGGCCCACGACTTGTATACAGGTTTGCGCATCCAACGTGGCCTGCAGTAAAACACAAGCAATCATTACTATAGATGTAGCAAGCAAAAATCTAGTTAAATTTGCGTACAGCTTTTTGTTATGCACCTTTCCCCAGAGACGACTAGCGGCTCGGTATGGAAGAAGTTTTAGAGACTGTAATTGGCCCTTCGAGGCCATTTTGTCCGTCGATGTGTGCATCTCAACCGTTGTGTAAAGTCGTCGCAAACCTGACGCTGGGTTTGTAGCGATCAACTCGTCCGTCAAGGTCTCCATCTCCTCCCATTGCTGAAGGCTGATGAGCGCGAAGCCAATGAGCGCGAAGCTCATGGTGACTAAAAGCTTCCAGTTTCGTGTTGGCATGCTGCTTGATGTTTCCTTGCCAAGACAAACTTGCTTCTGATTCGTCTGTTGCGAGACTTGGTACTGCTGCTGAGATTTTGAGGAGCTGCGGCAGTATGCAGCATAACGTGGACTGCGGCTGTTTGAAACCATGGTTTCGTGAAAGCAAATGGTCTGTGATTCAGCTCTCCGCATATGTGGCAGTATAGAAAACTCAAGTAACGATCTCAAATTAATTTCCCAACTTTCAGGCAAAAAAGTTGTCTCAGATGCAACTCGGAGACTCATTACTGACTGACTAATTAAAGTATTTGTTTCGTAAAGTTTAGCCATTTATTCAAACATATATTAGTTTAAACAAGTTTTTTGTATACTGTTAGTTCTAATAGTCCTAAAAAACACTTCTAGTAGTTACAGCAAACATAATTGTAAATAGGCTTGTAAATTTGCCACATTCTGAAAAGGGTTATCACGCCTTGTAATAACATTTGGCGAGTCAGTTCGTGCCATGCCATTGTGTCGATTGCTGTTCTGGTCACTGGGACAGTACATGATGTGTGAACATGGCAAACAGCAATATTCCAACTTAATATCTTGTATACAGCACTGGAACTTGGCGCTGACAAAACATTTTTTTAAATTAGCGAAGACCAATTATCCTTTTTTTGTTTATTTGTAATTATGGGGGCTCCAAGTGTCATCGAGGGTGTAGGTACATAACTCTCCATGGTTGTCAGAGTGTAACAAGCAGCTTTTTGTATATACGATACATCTTATGAGCGCGAAATAACTTAATTTGAAAGAGCCAAGACTAATAGCAAGTTTAACACAACCTATTAGATTATGATAAATATGATTACTTGTTTCGTTTGCTTTGCATAATTCACCTATTGCTGAGAGCCAAATTTTTATCATTTAAGGCTTAGCTATGATGCCATAAAATTATATTTTTTAATAGTCTGACGCGATAGATTATTCCAATATTACGCTACGCAGACTACTATATTATATTTAACAGGTATTATAACTCTATGCTCACATTGACTTCATAATGTTCCACTTTGCTCAGCGCTGCGCCGGCCGTGGTAAGCACCGTCGACACTTCTCACAACGGCGCCAGAACAGAGGATCGAATGATATTGAAAATCCCTCAGCCAGTATATTTCCTGGCAACTGGAAGATTCCAGCCGCCATTGGCTTTGCGCTTATCGGTTTTCTGCAGTGGCAGCATCTAAACCACCCGTCGGATGAGGAACGCAAGAAGCGTCCAGCATCGGCGTTGCGTCGACTTCCCGGCGAAAATACAGCGTTTGAGAAAACTATGGCTACGGAGCGCCAGATGCAGTCACTTAAGCTGTTTCCAAGCCGAGCCGTCAGCCGCCTCTGGGGGCAGGTGCACGACAAAGAATTGTACAATTGAAGTAGTAGCAAATTATTGATACTTTTGGTAACAAACCTCATGAGTTTATATGCTATTGCGACTGAATCGTAGGCCACGGTGGATGCGCAAGCCCGTTTACAAGGCTTGGACTGCTGTATTCAAGTGCAATTTAGACGAGATGAAATACCCACTTGACGACTACGCAAATCTGAGCGAATTCTTTTCGCGCCCATTAAAGTCGAACGCTCGGTCTTTTGACTTTGCTGTCAATCATCTGGCCAGCCCCATAGATGGTACAGTGGCCTCTCTGGGGGTTGTCACCAATTCAACGAGTAATGTGCCCACGCTTGAGCAAATCAAAGGCGCGCGTTATCGACTTGATGAGTTCCTTGGTGATCTCCCCTCTTTCTTTGATGAGTTGAACCCAGCATCCAAAGACAAGTCATTATTTTACTGCGTGCTGTACCTAGCCCCTGGCGACTATCATCGCATCCATGCACCAACCGACTGGCAGGTAAAAGAGCGGCGTCACTTTCCTGGAAACCTCTTTCCTGTCAATCATATTGCTGCTCGGCTGATCCCGAGTCTCTTTGTCGAAAATGAGCGCGTCGCACTGTTGGGTGAATGGAAACACGGTTTCTTTTCCCTCACTGCCGTCGGTGCTTTAAATGTGGGCTCTATCACTCTCGCGATGGAGCCGAATTTCGGAACAAACACTGCTGTGCATGATAAACAACTTGGCCACTGCTTTAAAAACGTTTACGGTGTCAAGATGGACGCAATGCGTGGTGAGGAGATGGCACAATTTAAGGTAGTGTTACTTCGCCAAACTGCAAAACTCATTTATTCTAATTGTCGTCATTTATAAAAATAACAGTTGGGGTCTACTGTCGTGCTGGTCTTTGAGGCTCCGAAGTCTTTTCAATTTACAGTCAAACTGGGTGACAGGGTGAGTCGTTAAGGCTGTTGTGGAGATTTATATTGGTACTGGACGGTCACTTTCTTTTGATAATGCAGGTGACTCTGGGAAACTGCATTGGTGAAGTGGATTAAAAAACAATAATTAGACGAACGTTGACGAGTATATTCTCACTGTCGTGAATTTTGATGTTGACGCGGTAGCAGCCAATTCTGACCTCCTATCTGATGCTTCAATCTTCTGACAATGAGCGTAGAAATTAAAAAAAAGGTTTCAACTACTTATAAAATACATTGTGTACAAAACACTGCTGTTTGTCATCAAAGCTACTTTTACACGACGCACTTAATTGTATTGTCCTTTCAAGAGTTACGTGCTTCAATACATAATAATAAAAACCTTAAGTAATGAATCTGAAAAAAGAGGTGAATTCATGTGGGAATATAAAAATTTCCTGAGCTCTACGCTAAAAAAAATCAATATTCTTCAAACCAATAAAAGCGAATCGTAAAGTTTCCATTCGCATTATTCCTCCAAACACCGCTAAGGCTCCAGCTGCTAAGCATCCAAAGAGTCACAGCCAGAGCTACCTGATTCACGCCAGCAACTCACCAATGTTTACCCTCTGTTACTCGTTTACTTTTTTCCATCGTAGAACAAAAAATACACGCTAAAGAGGAACACGCCAGTCATCATCGAGAAGGCGGAGGCATAGTAGGGATACGCCGCAGGAATAAATCTTTCATACTCGTCGTGTTTAAATGGTCGAAGCGAAACCTGAGTAGTCGTGAAAATCGTAGAAAGACCCAGACGGCGATACATCACACGAAAGAGAAAGATTCCATACACATCGGGCGCCTCAAAAGTCACCGAAAAGTGACCCTGATCGTTGTGATTCATCGTCGTGCGTACATGAGGATCGAGCATGACAAATTCGAGCTGGACATCATCTGCTTTGTATGGAACCCATTTTCCATCCTTTAGCTCGTGAAGATCCAACGAGTATGTCAAGTTGTCCTTTACACGGTACACAAGTGAGTCACGCGCTACCTCTGCATCCGGATAAAGCGTGATTGGCTGGTCACCACGATTCGCATCGCTCAGCATTTTGGCAGGTTGCGAGCCGTCGGCACGGTGGTGTTTCACATTCGTCATCCGCAGCACACCGCTTTCCTGAAATCCCCACTTGACAACGTGTTCGGTAAACTCGGCATTAGCAAAAGTCTTGTTGTTCAAATACTTGTTACTAAAAAGGTCGAGCGAGCCACTGAAGACGAGACGGGCATTGTTGCGGCTTTGGACGGCAGTAACGAGGCCAATTTGATTTCCGAAAAGGAGGTCACTAGACACAATCTTTTCTGTAATGGGCTTGACCGGGTTGGCTGAGTACGCGGTGGTTGGTGCCGTCAGCACATGAAAGGCCAAGATATTGTTCGGCTCGAGGGACATACCAACACCGGAAAAAGCGACGGGTCTAGGATTACCGGCCAGCGATCCAACCACACGCTCTGAAGGGACGAAATCTATCGCAGCTATCACCGAATTGTAAATATCATCGTCGTCAGCAATAGGGTTGACGTGGTCAAGCACAACATTCCCCTTTTTTTCAAACTCGACGCCGCATTCAAGCGCAAACTCGCGCTGTACCTTGGTCAATTTCTTGCCAGCTGCTAAAAGGACATTACCACCCTTCTCTACAAACTGCATTAGGTTCGATTTGCGCAGGGAGTCTAGCGCTTTTTGGGGCGTAAACAGCACCAGATTTTCGTATGTGCGCTCTCCATAACTTTCCAGCTTAAGTGGCTGCTTCTCCTCACCAGAAAAATATACCAATTGATGGCCACGATCTAGGATAATACAACAGCGTGAGCATAATTATGAGCAAAAGCGACTATTGATGTCGTACCTTCAAGTAGCTTGAAGAATTTTGAGTGTGTTTCCTGCAGCTCAGGGGATTCTAACACAACTGCTGTGCGCACAGCGTGAGCGACTGGAAGTGCCAGCACCAAATTGAGCACCAAGCGAAGAATGCGCAACACCATTCTCGTGAAGTTATGATGATTATTACGTGGGGTCGATCTAGACTCGCCGCGTGTCAATCTTTATATACCGGTATCGGGAATTTGATATGTTTTGTGGATGATACCAAACTGACTCCTAATATATGAGTATTAATGACAGTTGGTCTTATTTACAAGACAACTTGTACAGTTTTAAAGAAGTAAAAAGTGTCAAACTACTAAGACCTAAACCCTGTTCCCTGCAATGGCATTGCTGCGATAGTACGCGTCAACAAACGCGCAGGAGATAAGTTCGTGCGCTTCTTCCAGGGGAACCGAGAGCGTCTGCCGTAACTAGGTGTCTAGTTAGCTTTGCTATTTCAAGAGCACTTAAATGTAAGATATATCCTAGCAGGCAAATACTAAATATTTACTATTTGTAGTAACAAGATTGTCTATTGTTTGCCAAGCCGCTAATAACCACAAACGAATCCCCATAATCTTCATACCTCATTTGAAGGATATCCACGATTAGCCAAAACGTAACGTATATTTCTAACAATTTTGTTACGCACACAAGATTACACCACATTACACCCTCCACCCGGACCACACTGATGCTCAGTCTCTAAAAGCACTGCGCAATAATAGACTACTCGGCGTGCAACCTTTGTGCATGATGTTCTACTCTCTGCACTTCGTCATGCCTGCTCCCCAAAGCTTTTTTGCAACGGAATAGAGTCTGATCCCGTGCACCAAATCAATCGCTCAACGAACCCCAGCCATACGCGCCGTCTTCGCGCATTGCTGATGTGGTCTCTGGTGAGAACAATCTCGTAATGACTTTCCGAGTCGCGACCAAACGCTCGGTAGTACACGGTCTAGCTCAGCCTCCCGTTGCACAATCTCGAATGTCATGCCTTTTTCCATCGTTTCGACACCCCGGAGTGCTTTTGCGATGATGTCTAGCTCGTCACTGACGAGCCAGACCTGGTTCGAGAAGCCTAGATTGCTTTACTGCGAGCACAAGAATCACGCCGTAATCACGGTTTTACGCCGTCACAAATTGTTCGCCGCGCTGATACAGAGAGCAGACACGCCAATACACGTGGGTCCCCCGCTGTATCAAGTGCAAGATGAGCGCGAAGCGGTTACACCGCAAGTGCTTTTTATCCCCACACGTAGTCACTTTTCGGGAGACCTATCTCGCTCTGGAGCAGTAGTAATTAAGGAGACCCTTTTTATGAGAGATGGTGTTCGGGCACTGTAATGCAAGACTTTCGCTGAGTGTCAGACTTAGCGCGCGCACTCGTTGAGTAAAATATGCCTTATCACCCGTCTTGATGCTTTACAAGCCAGTGTCAGCAAATTAGAAGTGTGCTAAAAGCATCATCTCGGGCTTTACTTTACAAAGTTCAACGCGCGGTGTCGAATCTAGATGAGGTCCGAACACCTCATATTCTTGCTGCCAACAGCCCCGCTTGTCTCCATGGGACAGCTGTTACATCCACCAACCAAGTGTCGGGCTGACAGCAAAATCGGTCATCCACTCGGTCGTGGGAAGCGTGCTGCGATGACAGATTCTACCTTTTATAAAAAGGGGTGAAGGTCGAGGGTGCACTAGTTTGTAAACCGCCACGGCACCGGGGCAATCTCCTCGAAGTGGATTCTCAAACTCCGACGGATTTTCTGATGGATGGTAGCCTATCCATTTCAACACATATTGTGTATAAGCCGGGTGGCTTAATGCTCCGGTAAAGAAAAGTTGCCCTCTTTCATCGAGCAGAGCCGGCGGAAGTCACCAATCCGCGGCTAGCTCGCGCGAGCTCTCACAGCTGTGACGGTAGAGCGACTTTCTTTGAAAGTCACGGCGTGAGTCCGTGACTTGAAACATCTACGTCTCGGATTAGCTTTCTTTTGTTATGATCGACCTGCTAGACATGGGGCACTCTCTGCGGCTTAAAATTGCGTCGATGATTTGGAGTAGAGGACAACTCAGCCTAGGAAATGATGAAGAGGCTGCTTCATTTTCAACACAGCCCTGCATGTCCGATTAGCTCGTAAAGCGCATCGTGGTATGAGCTCACCGATTCATTGTAGAACACAGGATCGCATACTCTCAATCGGTTTTGGATAGATATCCAAAGTCCAGCTCAAAAATTTTCTTGTTAAGACAGTGAATAGCTTGAAGTAGCGCGGTCACAACTGGGTCCTACAACTCGCTGACACTGCATGGATGGATGGGTCAGCTGAATTTAACCAAATTTTTTGCTCCATAACATATATGTATGTGCCCCGCCTGCCTCTGGTATCAGCGTGTTAGTCATGTATTTTTTAACTTTCGGCTATAACGTCGTGCGGCCCTGCGCATAACGCTCAATCATATGAAGCGGCATGACCCACCTTGCTGAAACGGTTCACCAAGACCGAAATACTGGTATTACTGGATGCGTTGTTCGAGAGGCCGGCCATGAATTCATGCTGATGGACCGACAACACTTCGCTAAAACCTGCAAATGACGAATGTATCGCCGCATCCGACAAGGGTCCGTTGACACGTTTCACACGTGCGCAAATATGTGCTTACCAACTTATACATGTTGGGCGACCAATACAGAGTGCTCACGGAATGGTGTTTTTTCTCTTCCAAGATGACCACCCAAAGGAATGTCATGTGTATCGTATAATATTCTGTACTCGATGTCCTATTCATGATGTGTTACTGCACACTGAGTGCCAACTGGGTCAGTGCTGTGATACAGCACGCCCTGGAATAAGGCATAGCGGTGCAGACGAAATATCGACGCGCTGTCGCCCTGTAAGAAGCATGTCAGAAATCACAACCAACTCATTTTCCTTCATACAGATGAAAATTATTCGCCGTCCTAGTCCATAAAAGACTGGGCGCTTGAAATTAGCGGTCTCAAGGTGGGACAATCTGTTCTTTTTTCGCCGCTCGATGGGGACGCTGCTGGACTTGCCCTACCAACGCATGTTCATTGTTGGTGAACGCTTCTTAGCATTTACCGACACCTGCGTAAGCTGGCTGTCGGCCAGCTGGTCAATTTGTCCCGGGGACAGGTACTCGAACATTCGATGTGTCAACATCACAAGGATTGTGGCCCATTCACTGCTCGGTCGTGGGATTGTCTACAAGTTTTACCAGGAGCAACAGGAGAGTCGTATTCACTTTAAAGAGAAGGCTTTGACAGGGTGCCAAGAAATGGTGTGCTCCTGCTAGGAACAAAACAGAGGTTCTAAAGTGCTGGTTCGCTCTGCTGCATTAAAATGATATATTTAGGATGAATGCTACGTAGGTTGATACTGAGCACATAAAATCTACTAATCACGAATACTTTGAGCTATGTCGTGCGGTTAGCAGACCCGATTTACTACGGAGATCCTTTCTTTTCGAAATTTCATCATCTTCATAAAAACCAATAGTTGGTACTGATGAACTTTCACAACTGCAGCTAATGTACAACAGCGTGTGTTATGTTATTTGTATAATAGTGCTATGTTGTATTTGATACAATTGTACCAAGTATGTAAGTGCTAAGCATGCGAGATTACATAACTTTCCACGTTACACCTCATTACTTGATGCTTGATAAAAAAAGCGGTCGATTTTAAATATGGCAAACATGCAGAGGCTCATTGAGAAAATTATCCGGCGACAACTTACACATGAGTAGTAGCGCTTTACCTTCACTAGCTTCATGGAAAGATTCAATCTTGCTTGCACTGTGTATCACGATCACACTATAAAAGGCCGTGAACTTCACACAGTACGACAGCTACGTTGAGCGCTACTGATGCTGAGACGAAAGGGTCTTTACCGTATTGTCGAAATCAATAATTGCACTGCTGTCGTTACCCGCATCTGTCGATTGTGAGAGTTGTGCCTGCAAATTCAGGTACCGTTTAACGTCTACATGAACCTCAATCTCTTTATATATTACCAACCACCTCGTTGCTTGAGAATATTCGTGTTGTCGCATGCCGAATTTTGCCTAATTCTATGCTTCTACAATACTTAATGTAATCTAACGCTGATGAAGCTCTCTGGGCTCGTTCACTCCAGTAACAAATACTGGAATGAATAGCTTCAAGGACATTAAGCTTTCTCTTTGCGACATCCTTCACAGTATTAAGCAGCGAGCGAGTAACATCGATATGATAACCTAGATTAACAAAATGCCTCGTACTTAAAGTGTCACACGAACAAAAGTTTATTTATATGGTAAGAACTGAGCTTCGTCACTTGTTAGAATTCTCTTAATATTGTGGCACGGCGTATTATTGATCAGCATTAAAAGTCTACTAATTTTGAGCAGTCTTTAGGTTAGGATCTTGGGTCACTGAGAAAGAATCATTGCTGCCAGCCCTTGCATTTTTGCCGTGATGGTATCGAGTAGGATTGGCCTTTAAGCTACCAGTGTACCAGCATACGCACCCAATAATCTATCGTCTTTCAGGCTTTGAGAGAAGCTCAAAGGTACGGCATAACGAAATTTATGCTGTATCTAAGCATTGCACTTGTGCAATCGTGCAAAACACATCACACTACTGCAAAACAGTAGTAATAGTACACAGAGGTATTAAATATCCTAGGAAGATACTGGTTCGGACGCTATCGCTTCGAAACAGAGATGTCCGTGGAACACGTAGGGCAGCAGAACTGCATTTCTGGCGAGATTTATTCGACACTCGTAAATGGACTGACCGAAGTAGCTGTAAGCCTTCCCTTCTATTCCATGCAAAAGCTCTCGTTGAACTTACAGCATTATATCTTCAGGGTGCTCGTAACGATCCCGAGACGGCGAAGTCACCAAATCAGTACCGGAGGATGAGCGAAGCTCATAATTCGCCATGATTGAGTCCGTCATTGTGGGCTCTCAGAACAATCAGTGCGAAGATTGGAATAACTATCCTCCAGTATCCTATGAATTTGTTTATTTTTTTTTAAAAGAATACCTCAACGTGGGGAGAAAAGACCCACCGCAACAGGGCGTTGAGTGCGTCATGAGATCTAATGAACTTCAAAAACTTAATACTGCCAAAGGAATATGTGACGCAAATACTTTTCCTGCGTGCAAAGCAAAGCGGTTTTGGTCGCAAAGAGTTACATCTAAGCTTGGCTCTGACTTTATGTGTTACAAAAACCAGCAGTACGTTGTGGATTGTGCTTACTAATAGTAATTTAAGTGCAATCGCCACATTGGAGCAAGGGCCAATTCTAAGGAAGGACATGTTACAGAGCATTATAATCAGTTGCACTATTCTTAGTGCTCTTCTCTCGTTGACCTAATTGGCCATTATCATCACTGCCCATGAGAGACAGTAATATTCTACTGTACCTTTAAGGGGATACTTTGGAAGTTGCTGGTGGGGCCTTATGGACTGTCTAACGCACCAACGACGCTCAATTTGGTGATGCAGCTGTTCAGGACACGTCGTGCCTATGGCTTCGCCTGTTACGACGAGATATTCGCGTGTCGTTGGGTAGACACGGTGTATCAGATGTTGTCATATTGAAGACTTACGAGCATTGCTCGAGTATTTGGGCAAAGCTAATTTGTGAATCTGCACCTCGATCTTCTTTCTGGGATGCATCATCACGACGAAAGTCTTGCAGGCAGATCCCACGAAGATTAAAAAGCACTGTCGACTGGCTAGTGTCCCTGTTTTAAGCTACATTAGGAAGTGACTTAGCCTGGCAAACAACATGAAAGATTGTAGAGATAACCAATCTTTGTCACAAAGTGCTGGGGTGCGGCAAAAAATGCGTCTTTGTGATTGCGAAAAGAAGCGTCATGCGTGCCCGATTCTCCCTTTCCCCATCTAATTTCTCATGTCGTCTGTGACGATTTACTTATGCTAGTGGTGTGAGTCACTTCAAGCAGGAGGTAGGGAGCATGAAGCCGTCATCGCGTTTGCGCCTCCCCGGCACAAAGCGGCAAGAAGCATCAGTCTAGTTCCAGGACACAGGTTGCCCTTCTTATAGATCTTTCGTAATGACGCCATCACATGGCGAATATACTTTTGAGAGGAGGTTTAAGCTGTGTCGAATCTGGTAGCGGATGCGCTTTTGCGTTGCCCTAACTATAAATTGTCATATATCGATGTCAATGTTGATGTCGGAATCGGTGATGATAATATATTTGCTGCGTTGCTGACAGCCTTGAGAGCAGAGATCTTTTGAAGTCGAAAATCGTTTATCGCAGCGTGTTTGGCGCATTCAGATCGCTTCTCGCTGTACCAAAACTTGCTTTTAGGGTGTTGCCTCAACTTGTGGTGGTACTTCACGGCAAAAGACTTCAAGCAAAAAAATGTATTGTACGAGGGATACGATTGTCAGTTTATTGGCCAATTCAAAACAGCAAAGTTATTCTTCCAGCGGGCACTATGTACTGGTGGGCTAACATGTAAAAAGACATTGGTCGCAGCCGTCGTCGCCTTTGACCCGTCTACAAGAGCTGGTAGAGTACTAACGGCGCCTAAGTACGTATTATTTTTTATCTAATAAAAGACGTTACCCGTAATACTGTTATTGTGGTCCCTGCGGACCATCCAAGTAAGTTGGATCGTCGCGCTGTAACCAGCAATGCCGTTACCGATGAGGATTCAGCGAAGCTGTCAATCGACAAAGACTTCCCCTCCTTGGCTTACCAATGGACATGGTTTTGGATAGAGATCCGCGCTTAACAGAAAAGCTCTGGCAAGCTTTATTCAAGGTGCTAAACACCAGGTTTAACATTTCCGCCAGTGAACATTCAGGAACTGACGGTCATACAAAACGCCCTTCTTGTTTGTGGAGAGTATTCATCGAAGCACTTGCGCGAAGAGACGATAAGTTTGATGCGAACTGTTCCGATCAATTAAATTTATGTTGCATAACGCTGTCCATGACATTAACAGATTTGACAATATGTAATTGGAATGCCTTGATAAACACCGTATTTTTTACTTCGCCACGAAGTGGCTCGGTCTTAGCGTGGGGTCGTCGATGTGGTTTAACTTACCGATATCAGCTCGGCTACACTTACTGGCAAGACCACATGTATATTCTAATTGAGATTGACTGCCATAGGCTGACTGCGAAATTCTATGGATGATAGCGGGAATATGCAAAAGCTACCGGCAGATGCTAAGGCAGACGAAACACGATGAGTATGGAACTGGTGTAAAGTTTTTTTGATGCGGTTAAACTGTCCCACAGACAATATGTGCCGTCCATAAGGCACAGTTGTTCCTATTTTACATCTTGTGCGTAGCATTCGTAGCGAAAAGGGCTTAAGTTTTCGAGCGCTACAAACACATCATATTTACGTGCTTATTAAGCCGTTTCGCGATCCCGCTCCTCTGAAGCATTCGAATGCAAGCCGTACTTTAAAAGACGAAGAAATGTATTTACAATCCTTTCTAGATAAGCCACCTATCCTTTATAGAGCAGAAAGTCAGCTCTGAATTGCTTGATGTAGTTTGAACAATTGCGGATCTCCAAGTGCGCGTGAGAACTCTTCAAACGAGTAATGCGCTTCATCTATTCCAAAGGCTCACGGGAGCCTTCCATGCAAGCGACGACACTGCTTAATAAGATAGGTAAACTCCACTATCATAAGGGAAGGTATTTGGATCAGCATAATTCTTAAGGTGTAACGAGTATCTCGTAAAATGAACGCGCTATGTCACTCCACAATTTCTGCTCAAAGGCTCAGTTATCTCATACTCTGGTGATGTTTGCGTTTATTATTTGGCACGTCAATATACCTCCATCCTTCTCTCCAGGTCTCTCCCTGGAACATGGATTTTTACAAGCTCGGAACCAATTGGTAGCTATATCAGCATGCTCATGAGAATTACTGGGATCAGTACAACCAGGAGGTAAGCACGATTCCCCCTTCGACATATACGTCGCGCCCTGAATATGCAGAGTCAAAAATTATGCGATGCTCTGCTCTGACGCTTGTCTGATCAGAACTGACTTATAAAGCCGCGCAAATAAAGACAACGATCTTTTTCAAATAATGCTCGAATTGAGCCAGATATTCCTCGACACGGTCACCAAGCCAAGTACCAACGATACAGTTCTCACAGAGGGCATTGATTATTGAAACCACTGCTGATTGAAACCGTAAGCGCTTCTGCTGAGAAGATGTGACTGATAAATTCAATATGCTCTCACGAAACAAATCTCGTGTGCATGTTCGGCTCGTGAGATGAGCTGTAGGTCCTCACACAAGAGGATTTAAGAATTGCGCTTCGGAGTGGTGTGTGGCATCTGTTATATTGGTCAATAAAAGCCATAAATACTACAAAAGTTAGCCGTTAGTAATCTTACTGAGTTAAGCTTCGACTCATGCATCTGAGTGCAAGCAAGTTGAGCTCGCTAAACTAATTCCGGATTATCCAGAGAGACCGAGTCATCAATGTGTCTTCCCTCGCAACGATCAGGAAACGGACATTTTGTGTGAGAATTACTTTAGGATGATGGTGCCAGAAAGGATTTTTTTATTCGCATAGAACAGCATGCATGTCGCGACGAAAAAAATGTGCGTCGTGAATAGTTAGTCACTTCAACAAATTCTATTGGTGAAACTACCGCCTATTTTGCCGAACGAGGCTTCTATGGCGTCGGTAACAAGGTTCACGTTCTTATTGGTGGCTTGTCGGCCATAACCTTAGCTAGGGATCTACCAGTGCGATGGATACAGTAGAGATTGCGCTTAAGGTGGTCTTTGTGTCTTAAGGCAGGACTTAAGCTATGTGACCCCAGCCAGATTCATGTACTGGGTGGAGAGAGGCAGTAATGGGGTACATACTCTGTCATAGTATACGTACACTACAGTGGGGGTGTCACGAGTCTCGCACATCGGGATATCTCATCATCAAACAACGCATCAATCAACGCACCGCTAATAAGGTCGGCTGGCTTTAAGGTGCCGATCCGAGAGCCTTTTGTGTTTTTTTAGCCTTGCTCAGATAAAAGAGTACTTAACATTACAAAGCTGGATAAAATACCAAATTAATGTGTACCGTATAACAAATCGCGTGAGACTAACTGTAATTGGGTCAACATTCTACTTTTTGCTTGCGCTTTCATGTTGAAGGAAACGCCTGTGGGGTATTCGGAAAAAGTGTTTCAATTTCTTTAAAGGCAACTGCACAAACAATCTATCCCTTTATTGCTCTTGTTTGGAGCTCCCATCCTTACCATCCAATCAGACGCAAGAACGTCTAATCACAAATGTATGAAAGTATATTCTGTTTCATGCAATTCCGAAAGCAAATAGATATAAGTTCAAGACATCATTCGGTACACGTACACTAGGCATGTCTCCACAAACCTCTTCTATCGGAGTACTATCACTCATTCGGTTCGGAGTACTTATCGTGTTGCCTCATCGTCAGACTTCACCATGGTACCCGCAACCTTTGCGCTATATCGGGGAGACAGCAATGTGATGTGTGCAGACACGATCACAGAGTACGTTAGCCTATCGTGCAATGCGGTCTTACATTGGCTAAACCATTCCGTGATAGCTAATGCACCACGGTTAGGCTCGTACGCTCGACCCAGGAGCAGAACCGAGAGCCTCTCACAAAACCATGTACTTAGCTTGTTTTTCTATTTCAGGAGTGACATATTGAAAGGATCAAGTCTAAATTAAACCTTATCTATATGTTTAAGTACCGCACTACGTTACGCCGACACCCCACACGTCTCACATACCTCTCTATGATGGGTGTCCATCGGTCTCATCAAAAGCAGTATTTTGTGCTTTTGCGTGTTGCAATGTATACGTACATAATAGTACATTTCGCACCCCGTTGCGCATTCCTCCTCGATGTAAACCAGACTGAATCCTATGATTAGATTGTCGATTTAAGATTTAGCGCATAACGCTCAACGAGCACTCATTGTGCTTTGAATAGTACTTTAGCACTTGAATCTCACGGTGTCTGCTCCTACAAGCACACTCTCATCGGAAGGCCATCTCCTTACGTACCCTCATAGGGATCAGTAAGCCTCCAAAAAAGGCGCAGCCCTCGCGGTTAAAGACCTTGTGAATAGTCTGCTAGGAGGCCGAGGTGCCTCAATAAAAATGGTCGTAGCGTTCTGATCCGACATCTCCGCCCTCTTCAAGAGAAATACGGAAGAACCGCTATCTCTACGCTCACCTTTCCATCGCACAAAACGTCTTTATTTATGAATCTGATTCATCTGATGTTGCTCACCATGCCGTTGCGGGTCCCTTTCACGTATATACATGTGGATCTTCCAAAAACTGTGAAAGATCATAGTAAACAAGCACTTCCTTATACGAGAGACCACGATACCGTTTGCGCCGCTTGGAGCAGCATCGGTTGGGTAAGTCCGTATCTCTAGTAAGACTTAGCAGGATACAGAATGCTGACAAATGCGTAGAAGAGAATCGCTATCAATTCGTGCACTCGGTAAGTGGGGATATCGTATCAATTTTTCAAGCCACCTTTGGAAAACAGACGCCTACTGAAATGTCGACTATTGCTTTACCTTTTAGAGTACGAAGCGCGATAAGGATGTCATAGTAGCTGCTCATAGCTCTAATTTTCTCAACAGCCCTTCTCGCTTCAATAAGTATCCTAAAGCGAGTCTCTGATCTAGAATAAGCTCAGGGCCTTTTTGCTAGTCAAAAGCGAGCTGCATTAGACGAGCCTGTATTTTCTTCTGGGAGGATACAAACCAAAGGTGCGCAAGGTCTTAAGTATCACTGGTGTCAGGGCGCTATTGCTAGAATGGGACCACGAACCTCTACGAATTTTTCGGAGCACGTTTTGTCTTACACTTCGTCAGATACTGGAAAACCCCTAATATATTCGACGGTCTACTACCGCTCAGCGTGCATGTGAACCAATCCTCAATCATCGAGCAGTGCCGACGCAGCGTGATCTTTATGTGGTTGGCTCTTTGAAATCTCTTGGGGTTGTGGCGATTGGTCGACACTCACCAAAAGTCTCGGCGATTGAGATGAGCGTGCGATTCCCGAGCTACGCCGGTGTAATGAGTGTTCCCAACCGTTCATAGTCATATTTCTGTCTTGAAGAAAAGAAAATGAATTGTTAAACAAGATGAAGACACCTGAGAGTAGTTGTGTTTATCTCATCCTTGTTAACAGTGAGAGAAATGACACACTACGATACTCAATTTTCTACATCTTGAAGATTTCGAATAGTATACTTAGAGCGATTGCTGTCGCTTTATCTCAAGTATTTGTAACGGCATTTCCAGGCAAACAACAGCATCAATGATAATGCAATTGACCAAATTCCATCAAATAACTCAATTACTATCTTTCTTCAGCGTCTTGGTGTTCCAGACGTTCACCTGAGGAATCAAAGTTTACGCTGCTGATTCAGCACATCTATCACGTGCCATAATCAAAGTATCAAAGTATGCCTATAAAAAATGTTTAAACCCTAATATCATGCAGGTTTTCATTTCTCAGAACAATATAGCAAATCAAGTCAAATAAAATAGTACTTGTGTATTATTTTTAAAGGCATTGAACATGTTGCAGTAGTGGTATCTTATAACTTGGTCTCCTAGCACGCCCTGACAAGCTAAGCCAGCTGCTCCTTAAGCAGCGCTGGCACAAATAGATTGGAACTGGTACTTGAACGTTGCATTTGCTCATTCCAGGCGGCATAGTGTTTGTTCGCAGTCTTTCTTGACGTCTCAATACGTTTTTCACGATCTGCAGCAGTGGGCGTATCCAAGTCCGACTCAGTGTTATCCGAGTCTGTACTCAACGCGCCAACAAGCATTCGCGGACGACGAACTCGAGTGTGACGTGAACGCTTCGCTCCGTCCCTCTTGTTTCGGCCCGAAAACATGTAAACAGCTCGTAAATCATACAAAACTCCTTCCGCCCGAACTCGTTCTTCCGGTGTCACTTTAACGTTACGCACATACGTCGAGCTACCCAATTTTTTGGGGATCGGAATTGCTGCAATCGACTCGCTAGCCAGCTTTTTCGAGATCCGCATAGGATTGCAGCACAAGCGTGACGATAGAAAAGCTCGAAGTGTAGTGCCCTCGGCAACATCAAGCACACCTTTAAAAAATGAATCAATAAGTGCTGCTGCGTACACTTCTTCATCATGTGACCATGGACCACTGCGCCGGAAGACGCGCATGGGGCTAACACTCGGCGTACTGTCCAAGGTGGCAGTTTCAGAGCTTATACGACTGGTAAAAATGGATTTGCGCTCCCGCTTGACTGGTGTGGCGACCTGAAGAGGCACTATCTTGTGCGCATCCTCGTATGCAAGACGCAGCTCCGTAATGCGGCTTTCCACTTCGAAACATTCCTCAGAAATATCGTTATCATCCGAACTGTCCGATGACATATTGTCTGTCTTCACCATCTTTCGAGCGTATGTGATGGAGCCGACGTTATCCGGAAATTTGTGATCATTCATGCGCTGAGGTGCGAGCTTCATTGACAATTGCTTTGGTGAGCAGCCTAATTGTTGGCAGAGATATGCCACAAGCCTAGTGCCTTCAGGAAGATCTAAAGATCCAGCTATGAAATACTCAAACACTGTGGTAACAAATTCTTCTTCTTCATGTGATTCGAACCCTGTACGAATAATTGTGGGCTTACGGCGCTTGGACTTCAAATTGTAATGATCAGACTTCCTTTTTTGCCCAAACACTTCTTTTCGAGTTTGAAGCGCGCCAATCTTTTCTTCCTTCTCATCTTCATCCTCCTTTCCGTTTAGACATAACGGTTGATCACCACCTTTATCATCTTGAACGTTGTTGTTCAGCACTCTAGTGCTGAAATTAATAGCTCGAAGCTCCTCTAGCATGCACTCGGCTTCACGTCGGATGTGATCACTTGGAGGAGGATTGGCACTAACATATACTGACGCGCCAATTTTTTTAGGAATTTTCTGTCCAGCCAGCGTCTCTGTTCCTAATTTCATCGAGACGCGGCGGCGATTGCAGCACAGCTTTTCTGCTAAAAATTTACGTAGCGTCACACCCTCTGGCAAATCGAGAAGCCCTTTTAAAAAGAACGAAACGAGCGCTGCAGCGTACTCTTCTTCGGCACGAGACCAAACTCCGCTGCGCACATAATTCAGGTTTTCACGTGCAAGTGGCGAGAGTACCTTTGGACTGCTACGCTTGATAAGAGCGTCCGCCTGAACCAGTAAATCTAATTTGGACATACTGTCATCCTCCCAGTCCTCGGCAGAAAGATTTTGCTCCTGTACTTTTCTTTCAATAAGACTCACTCCATTTGCGTCTTTGTCGCTCGCTCGATCGTGCTTCTTTGAATGTTGTTGCTTCTCCTGATTGTGCTTCTGCTCTTGATTGTTATCATGCGTCACCTTGACGTCACTTTTGTTATGCACGTTTGGCACAGAGTCAGTGACTGACGGCTGTTGGAAGTCTTGAAGGATCGCTACGGCGCACTGGAGCTCATCTGTACTCCACTTGCGGTTTGGCTCGCGAGGAGAGACGGGCGACGCTGGTTTCTCTTCTTCGAGGACAGGACAAAGAATCATCGAGAGATCCATCGTAACTCTCTCTCGTTTTTAATCTTAAGACTGTTCTGCTTGCGCTTAGACTAGAACTGTGGGCCAGAGCAACCCACCAACCACAGTGGCCTGCCCCCTCTCTGATGGCGACACTGCGACTCCCACACAGCAGGTAAGAGCTGTTCGTGCGTGTGTCGCGTCACGCATTTACTTGTAAATTGTATGAAGTTGCACCTGAGTGCAACCTTATACAATATTCTAGCGTTTCGATAAAAGGGCGTGTCATCACTGACAAAAGTATTTGTATATGTATATATTTTGGCCTTAAGAAATTAATTCGCTACAGCATAAGTCAAAATGCATCGCTATTATTTTATACGGTTGAGAAGGTCAGATCACACAAACAGCAAGAACATGAAAATCTTGCAACAGTACATCGTGAATAGGGTTTTGCTTTCAGGTTGCAGACAATGTATTCAGTGCCTCTTTTGGCTAACGCATGTATTTCTTTGTGGTTATTTTTGACCATGAGTGTATGCTGACGTGAAGGATGTTTTTGCTGACGAAGGTCGTATACCTGTTGGTCTGTCAAGTTAGAGCATTCTGTGATCCAGCAAAGCTTAATACCTAGAACTTCAGCAGCACATTTAGGTATCGATTGACCTTTTTATTATGTGCAGGCTCTTGCAAGCGCAAGTAAGATTTGCGGTTCCACGTTACCTTTTTGAAGGAATTCCACTGTAGACCAGGTTAAATGCACATCCATCACTCTATGCGCGCTGGCTCGCTGCTTGGAACATTTTTTGCTAAAACCTTGACCTCCTGCGTAGAGCCCGCGACAACAAGCTTTAAGACTGGGTACTCCTCGAATGTTCACGGCGCGTATATTCTAATTTCTCGGAATAAGATTAGCTTTACTCCTCGAAGTAAGCGCATAAACTGAGTTACATCTTATCACTGGAATCTTCAAATATGTTTTTTTACCAAGTCGATGCGCTAAGAAATAATATGTCGCACTCGGTCCCTCCCTGTATGCCTCATGCGTTTGAGAGCATTGGCGCATCATCCAAACGATTTGGTTCTGAACTATCGTACACTTTTTTTAAGGCGTGGAGCCACAGTGCTAGTCAGATTTGATCAATGCAGTACATCTGCTACTTAAACAGTCGTAACATTTATGCAACACCATGAGCCGAAGATAATATGGTAGCGTTGTGAAGCGCTATTTGGCGCAGTAAGTGCAAAGGGCTCATAATGTTGTTCGAAGTATCCATTACATCCATTGTTTGATATTCAGATACAACAAAGCAGCAAATCAGACACACACGCCGTAGGCGGCGACATAACAATTTTCGTTGACGGGTTGGCCTAACATCCGGAGCAAACGGTGTTACTGGTAAGTTTGACAAAGTTAGTACCTATTCACTCTGTTTAAAGGTAATGTCTTGTAGTTTATATCCAGTTGTTACATCCAGGCTACACTAGCCAAAAGTATGTAGCTGTGCTATTATTAGCATTTCTGGATACCTCAAAAATTACGAAAAGCAATAATGCAGTAATCAGGCGCCCAGCTCAACTTAACCTATATAGACAAGATGGTTGACCTGTAAACCCTCGAACAATTGCCATCATTTTTCGCCTGACCTTGCAGGCGAGGTCTCAAACGTATCTCAATACCCTGAGACTCAAAGCGCGTATCTGGTGCAAGATTAAATAGGGGACGTAAAAAAGCTACTAATTTTGTGGAGTGGACGTGGCAAAGAATCTTTTTTTAAAGTGAACAAGAACAGGAGCTTCACTAGCATATAGAAAAATGTAAAAGTGTAGACTGTATCCCCAACATGCATTCGTGTATGAGCGGATATGCAGTTTCATGTTGATAGTTTCACAGTCGGTACGCAGCCGATCTTCGACGCGGGAATGCCAGTTTTGCACGTCTCCGGACCGTCCATATCTAAAATAAACTGAAGCGCCATTGCCCTGATAGCGCTTGCCATTTCAAACTGGTAATTTTGGTAGAAAGAAATTTAACCTCGATGCTCCGGACATCTCAGATTATCACATGCATGATAGACTCTGCGAGAGAAAAAGCATGAAAGCCGCTTAGAGTGCAGTTTATCAATCGTAAAATAGGGCGAAACTTCGTTAAGAATTTTGCTGGAGAGTCAGACAGTCGAGCTGACTCTAAATTACAGTCATTACGTGCACTCTAGACTGCCCAATACGCTCACCAGAACTTACTTTTATTATGAACCATTCTTTCTGGGTAAAGTAGAGCATTCTTGAAAAGACGCTTGAGATCAATCTTATCAGTGAAATACATCGAAACGAAACCACAATCGCTATGGAGACGACGAGAAGAAGAAAAACCTGTTGGGCTAGAAGGTACCGGAGGTCTGATCAATCATTAATAGTAAGAATCTATCAATATGTAGAAGTATGTGTGAGCCACACTCAGAACGTGACCTGTCATACCGAGAAGATATTGTGGGTAACCTGTATGTATCGCTTTCCTTCAACCCTAAGAAACTCGGGATACATGTGACAGTTTTAGCTCTGATAAATTAATCACTAGGATTATTTATCTTCCTATAAGTCTTCACTTCGTTTCATCCTTCCTTCCGACCTTTAAGTTCATTGTGCCCCGCATCAAATATATCAACAGGTTAAAAGTCCAAGGTACATGTTCTTTGGGAAAGACGTGTCGGCCAAGCTGTCCATCGACAGGTTCAACGGTGATAAAAACGCCACTTGGAGTCGATACATTTGTGGCGTGTTCCTAGCCAACTCAGTGTGGCATGTGGTCAGCAGTGGGGTTACTCCGACCTTTGCTGAGCCTCGCGATTCAGACGAATGCATCGGGCTTAGCTTAAATGCACTGATCTGATAGTTCTTCACATGGACGCACCATCAAACAGTCGCAGAAAGCTAGTCGCATCTTCTTCAAGCGGCAAGTATCAGGCATGATTATGGCTGAAGGCGCCGACGTACTATATCACTGCTGAATTCAGAAACGAGCAGTGCAGATCTACATAATCAAAACCTCGTAAAGGTCTTTTGGAATGAGCACACCAAGCGACAAAGCGAGAAGATCCAACAATCGAGATTGAAGACGCTACAAGGGTGTATGGAACGAGCGAGATCAAACCTTTGGAAAACTGGGGCACACGTTGGACGCTGGATTAATCGAAAGGCAAAAATCGAGGTGCACGACGCGAAGGCCTGGCTCGAGTGTACCGAGCAAATAACGTCCACTGGGTTTATCTTACTAACTAAGCAAGACCAAACTACTTTTTTGGAGCTGACAGAACACATTAATACATGAGACTATGCGTGGAACATCTGTGCAGCGGGGATGCCGTAGCTTTTTGCTTAGAAGAAGCTAAACTAAGGTTACCGATCTTCATTCTATACATACAATCAGTATGGGTTATCGAATCACAATCCGCTTACTCCAAGAACACCCAAAACCTTAGCTCAAGACAAAGAACTCATCCATTTAAGATGTAAAGTGTATTCCATGGTTTTATCTGCGGCAAAGCTGCCTACATTTACATCTATATAAGACACCTCTACAACCCCAGGACCTTCTGCACGCATTCTCTGCTCAATAGCTCTATGTCTAAGACATAAAAGACACCCAGCCTCGCTTTTCTGAGAGCGCCCGTCGGCAGAGCCCTTCCTCGTCTCCTGCAAGCGGTGCAATCCAGACAGTACGTCCGTGGCTTCAAGGGAAGCGCATCTGAAGTCCTCGGCTCCTGAGTGCTGCACACCGCGTCCGCCACGGGCGACGGATTACCTCGATGAGGATTCGGGGGAAGTCGACTACGTGTCGAATACTCCTTCTTCGGGATGCAAGGGAGAGGAGGGCGAGGTACGCCCATGGCGCGACGTGAGCCCTGCTCGAACCTTGCGAACACCGTGTCTGTTTTCCGACTTCTCGACCTCCAGGGGGAGTGGTATCATTACCAATTGCCTCGACGAGGCACAAGAGCAGCCGTTGGAGGCTGCCCACAGGGCAGCTCTTATGCGCTTGTATCCACGTTTGGTCCTATACCCTCATGTGGAATGCGAATTCCGCTCAGCGGATCCCGCTACTGAAGCGAAAGGCGCGATCACTCCATCGTTAGGCGTCTTCGTAGTCGGACATCCGGCCACTCCACAAGCTGAGCTTGACCAGCGAAAAGCTCTACGAGCTCGCTTTCTGTTACCCTAAGAAACCCCAATGGATTGGTATGCGCTCGACTTCGAGCTCAAAGAGGAGACGCTCATGTACTCGCAATGCGTACTATTTCTGTGGTACTCGCCCCTGGCGAAACCGCTGCAGATGACGATGATCTCTTTAAGCGATGCGTGAAGCAGCATCAGAGACTTGCCTTGCTGTCTACCTTACAGCGAAGCCACAAATAAGTGTACTTGCGCGTAGAGCGCCATCTTAGATTTGAGCTTGCCAAACTTAAGGCGCAACCCCGACTTCCTGCGTATTGTCGCCCAGCGACGTATTACGCTCCCGCGAGCGCTGTGGTTTCTCACACAAGTGAGCCTACGACCACAGCAGCTCGGGCCAATGCTTGAGCTCAGCTCATGGCCTCGGAGAGATACTCAGCAGTGCCGATGACGATGGACTTGGTCCTCCAACGCTCGAAGAGCATCGCGAGTCACCGGACGGCGATAGATCGGATCGTCATCGTCCGCCGCTGACGCTTCTCGACGAGAAAGTTGGCTTCTTCTATCACGTGGAGCGCCTTGTGGCTCGACGTCGTCGACAGGGTCGAACCGAATATGTTGTAAATTGGCAGGCACATCCCGACTCCGAAAGCTCGTGGGAGTTTGGGGCGCCACTTCGGCATGACTTTCCAGACGTCGCAAATGCTTATGGTCGGAAGAGTAATGATGCTTCGTGTCGTGCACTCCGCGCTTCTTGACAGTAGCCCGGGAAGTCGAAGGGTTGCCTTCCACTTTGCGGGAGACTTCGAAAGCCTGGAGCACGTTGTGCGCCGACTGCCTCGCGTTGACGATAATCGTGCTCTGTCGAACTG